TGTAGTTTCAACTTTCAATAGCCTTTGAGTTTGGCTCATGAAATCCTTCGCAAATTGAAGTGATATGATACCAATGGCCGATCCAATATAACTCGCTGTTTGTGAATCAAAATTTTCAAGCAAAATAAAGAGTAATATTTCAGTTATACTTTGTAAAATACATTTTTTATTCAATGAATTACAATATGCTATAAATATCACTTGTATATTATAACGATATTCATCGCAAATCTTTCATGCAATGCAAATCATCCAAATTATATTGTTTTAACCCTCCAATGCCAATGCTCTATTCTGGCCCTTTTTATAATGGACAATGCATTTATAAATTATAAATACAGCAGGAAAGCTATAAGGCCCGAAAGCGCATTGTAAGTTGCAAGTCGATTGCGTGTAAAAATGTATTAAAGCGTGTTATATTTCAACTTCGCATTTATCATACAAGATACATTGCAATATCTTCATTTCTGTTTCATAATTTTGGATATTTTCATACATTATAGCAGTGCACACTTTCCCTTTGGCTTTACCACCCAAATTACGACCATGATCTTTGTGATTTATTGTGAAGCACGTAGCAGAGAAGTCCCAACTTAGTGCCTTCTCGTTGTTGAACTGAACAGAACAACATTATAAAAGCTGCTCGCTTGATATCTTAGCTGCCCCACAATAATCCTCATTCAGAGACAATTCAAGTTTATTAAAGGCCGTTAAATCGTTTCGTAAAATCGGCCGCGTACATATAAATACTCGACATCGTAAAATAATTCTCCCAACTATGAAAAACCTTCGTATACGGGAATATGAAAGACTGCTTTGCATGAATTTCGCAATTTTCAAGGACTGATATCCCCTGCCGCGAATAAGTCCGAATCAGTCCAAAAAAATGAACCAATAGAAATTGTCAATAATTTCAAATTGACCAATCAAAATGAAGGAAATGGACTGATAAAAACTCCCTTAAAGTGCAAGTCAGTCGGACCACCCCATAAAAACTCCCTTAAGTTGCAATTCAGTCCGACCTCCCCACAATATTTTCAAATTGACCAATCAAAGGAACGAAATGGACTGAAAAAGACTCCCTTAAAGTGCAAATCAGTCCGGCCACCCCACAGATCAGTCGAGATAAGTCCAAATGACCTCTCGACCAATCAAATGAGCATAACGACCACCCGATTCTGCGAGATTCTTGCGTTTTACCGCTGCTCTAGATAAAGCATATATTTAATTCAAAACTGAGCTCGTAAAGACGTATACTGGACTATGATATGAATTTCATATTATATTCGGGAATTAATTATTCAAATTTCGAAATAATAAATTAATTATTTCTTTGCAAAAAATACGTCAGTCATGCGACTGATTGGACTTACCCTAGATCCGCCCCCAGATCAGTTCTAAACTTTTCTGCCTAGAGATCCACTAAGGATCATCTCTTATTGATCTAGCTAGTGTTACCACAGAAGGAAACCTAAATTAAACTAACATTATTTTTACCGCATAGCTCTATCAGTTCTAAACTGTTCTTTTTAGAGGTCCAGTAAGGATATCTCTTCTTGATCCAGCGTTACTACAGGAGGAAACCTAAACTAAACTAAACTTGTCAAAATAAAATAAATAAAATCTTTGTTCATACTGTTCAATTGTCTTGCTACAGTGTAAGTCAGTGTAAATAAAATATCTTCTTTTTATGTAATTTCAGGTTGGCATGAGATAGACGACAGCATCCCAAGGTTCCAAGGGAAGTTGGATAGAATTGCGAAGTTGTTTGAAGAAGTTCAAGTATATCAAACGAATTTCCGTTCTTCGCGTGGAACGGAGTCGTCAAGGTCGTTCCGATTGCGTCGCTCGCCACAAATGCATCGAAAGAGAGCGAGCTCTTGGCATGTACCTACAGGTAGGGGATGGTGTTAACGTGTTTAGTGTTGATTTGTAGTAAAACTAAACTGACTTTATTTACACTGGATAGCTCCATCAGTGCTAAACTGTTCTCTCTAGAGGTCCTGTAAGGATCACCTCCTATTGGTCCAGTGTTACTACAGGAGGAACCTAAACTAAACTAACTTTATTTATACTGGATAGCTTTATCAGTTATAATCTTTTCTCCTTAGAGGTCCAATAAGGATTATCTCTTATTGGTTCTGTGTTACTACAGGATGAAACAAACTTTATTTATGCTGCATAAATAGCTTTATCAGTTCTAATTTGTTTTTCCAAGGGATCCTGTAAAGATCATTCCGTATTGGTCCGGTGCCACTGGGCCACTAACTTCTTAATATAATAAAAATTCCTCCACTCTTTTCAGGCCATGAAGTTTGTTACACGGATAGAAAAGACAGTAAGAAACGAAGCTTTACGAAGTATGCCAAACTTTTAACATCAACGCCAAAGTTTGTCAAAGAAGTTAAGAGGTAACTATATGTTGTTTATTTGACGTGTTCGCTAACGAGTAAATATAATCGGTAATTCCAATTGTAGAATAAATTTTGATCAAGGCAAGAAGAACGAAATCCAACATCACAGCTAGAAAGAGCGTCTTAGAATGAGTAAAACTGCAAATATTGGTTCCTAAATGTTGTAAAATGAAGAAAATATAGCCCTGTGAATTTCGCAAATTTTGTATATATTTGTATTACGCGCGTTAAAAATAACCACTTTTGGCTCAAAAATGGTTATTTTTCCCGCGCGTAATGCAAATACAGTTATGTACAAAATTTGTGAACTTCACAGGGCTATATTTTCCTCATTTTACAACAATTCTCAACCAAACTTTGCAATTTTATTCATTTGAAGATGCTCTTCCCAGCTATATGGTGGAAGGGGATTTCGTTCTTGTCTAGATCAAACTTTTGTCTATAGCTGGACTCATCCATTATGTGAGAGTTTAATGAAATGCGCTGAGATTTTTTTCTAACCTCTCTTCAACTCTTCTCTATGAATCTAGAGGTATATATTTAGCGACATTATTCTACACGAAGGATGATAAAATTCTCGTGACGCTTGACGAAAATTTACCCATTGTCGAAGTTGACGATGCTTCCACTGTTTCATTCACGCAGGAATTTCAATGGTTGTTAAAGGTGGGATACATTTAAGAAATACTTTGTTATCATGCAGAAGTTACCAGCATTGATAAATAAATGGTCTATGTATACACATAGAAGGATCACTTGTCAAGATCAAAATATATATTTATTTTCCAGGTGGGCTGTACTTGGCAAGACATAAAAATGTTAAAAGATCAAGTTGAACGAAATCTTTCGTCGACCTCAGTTTATCTGAGGGGACGTCTTCTACAAGCTTTGGACACACTGCAGGTAAGGAATTAAAGGATTTAACATATGCAGGAATAACGAAATAGATCGCCACCAACGTTCAAAGTAACATTTGGCCATTTTCTGAACAAGACGCCAGTATAGCTGTCTACTGGTTGCTCTGCATGGACATTATGGCCGATCATTTTACCACATTTGATTTGAATCATTTCACCCTCATTCATGCAAAAGCTGTTCATTTTAGGTTGGTATATATACCCAATGAAATTAACTTGCCAGCAATCACTTTTAGAACTGCATTTGCATTCTTTGTTATTTTAGGCTGGCGTTGGTTGTGACGATTTAGGACAATTACATTACCAGATTATCAAAGATAAAAATGGAACTAACATTATTGTAATAACTAAAAAAATTAAGGTGAGTTAGATCCGTATTCTTCTGAGCATGCACCTCCTCTAAATCATGAAGGCATGGAGCTGTGTGAGATATAAATACAGGAGGGTGAAATGTCTGGAATAACCCGATCTATACTGGATGTGATTCTGGGAATAAACCATCCCTGATATTTTCCTTGTGTTTTGTCTAATGCCGTATGTAGCTACACTCCTATCTTTCACGGCGAATGTCGCACGCAAGTTTGTATGAGCTGACGAAATACGCAGGCGAATTTTCAAGTTTAGTATTGTACCATTCTACCATTACGTTTTGCATTGTTTTCATTTAGAATCCTAGTTTTATTCGATCTCGAACACTTTCCATGAAATGGATTTCGCTCTCAAAACTTCAAAAGAAAACCACACAGAAAGATGTGAACGATTCGCCTAATGCTGTCAATCAGATTATCACATCGATACAGGTGAAACTTTAAATTCTCTAAAATATTTCACTGTTAAAACTTTACCAGTAGAGTAGACCTACGTGGTGCATACAGTACTTATACTATCTGTGACTTTCTATTTCCATTCTGAGAATAATGTTGTTTGCATATCTATCTATTTACGAGTAAGATAGTTGGTGTCAGGCAGCAGTTATCAGAGTGAGAAAATAATGTTGATAGTGCTATACTTGAGTATACAAGTTGACCGTGATTTATTGTCTCTTAAACAGTTATTGAGAACCACTAATACTTATTTTTTTATTACAAGTCTCTTTGATCACAAATGCTAATGTTAATATCGGATTATGAACTTTTTTAGGATGTGATTTCTTACCATCAGCAAACAAAGAAACCTCTGGACAAGTATGTGATGTATACTTTTACGGATGTCAACGTAGCTGCATGTTTACTGTATGCCATCCAGTCATGGTCCAGCGATCAGAATGTTCCATTGTCTTTTCATTGTTTTGAAAATCCCACTGTTTTCCATGCCACCCAGTCATGATCCAGTGATCAGAATGTTTCATTGTCTTTTCATTGTTTTGAAAATCCCACTGTTCTCCATGTCATCCAGTCATGCTCCAGTGATCAGAATGTTCCATTGTCTTTTCATTGTTTTGGAAATACCACTGTTCTCCATGCCATCCAGGCATGATCCAGTGATCAGAATATTCCATTGTCTTGTCATTGTTTTTAAAATCCCACTGTTCTCCATGTCATCCAGTCATAATCCAGTGATCAGAATGTTTCATTGTCTTTTCATTGTTTTGAAAATCCCACTTGTATTATTATCTATCCAAAACGTCTATTGCAATTGATAACAGTGGATCGATTTCTTTCTATTACAGAGGTCTATATCTTGGTTTCATGAAACTAAGAACGTCAGTGGATGCGATACATATCACTGTCCCACGATATTCGCCCAACATCTTACCTCATGTCAAGGTCAGGGACAACCCTCACGTATCCAGGTAACTAGCGATGATCTCATAACGTTGAATGGATAGAGCTGCATATTGAATATAGAATATGCAGTTTGGCGAGTTTCGCCAATTATAATAATGAATAGAAAATATGTTCAAATGAGTTTCGCCCATTATAAAACTATTTAAACTTTTTCTTTTAGGGAGGAGTGGGAATGGCTTACTGGTTTAACCACGGTGAGTACTTTGAAACCCATTGACATGGATCATATGCTGAAGATTGAACTAACTTTACCATGCCATGTAGGATCTGAAGATATAAACAAGTTGTATTTTCTTTGTCGTAGATGTCAGAAGAGGAACTCGCGGCTGAAAGTTCACCAAGTTTCCAGTCAACGTTAGAACATGCTTTGAAAACATTGCTTGACGACATTGGTGTCAGCAGAAATGTATGTTGGCTTAACTACTGTTCATAATTCAACTTCAACTTTTATTATTAAAATTAATAAGTATATATTTAACAGCCATTTACCCTCCCACATTTAGCAATAGCTATTCGAGGTGGGGGGTTAAGATTTCATACAGTTAAGGAAAAAAAAAGAAAGAGATCAGGCTCCATGGCAGAACTGAATGCCATGGAAGAATTACCAAAGCCGGCTGTATACGTGTCTACCGTGTGAGAATTAATTTAGCTCATATACAGAAGAAAAGAAACAAGAATTAATCAGTTTTAGATATTGTTTGCATAATCATGGTAAGATCACCATAGTCATCGCAGAAACTTAGAGCATCGAGGAGTAAACTTTTGCATTGTTTGGAAAAACAGGGTTTACTTAATTCTCGAATAGAGGTAGGTAAACTGTTCCAAATTTTTACACCCATTCTGGAAAATGACTTAGCTAAGATATTTAATCTCGAAAATGGTTGATAAAGGTCATGACGAGCCGCAGACCTAGTATTGTACTTATGTGTATCAGCAATGGCAGTGAATAATGTTGTGATATTAACCGGAGATTTATTGTTCATAACGTCATGCATAATACAAGCCACATTATGAAAATAGAGAAAATTTATTGGAAGAATTTCAGATTTAGTAAAAAAAGGTATAGCGTGATCTCTGTAATCGGCAAAGTGCATCAAGCGGACAGCTCTTTTTTGGTGAACAAGCAGACGATTGAGATCAGACTTACAAGCTTGACCCCAAACAGTGATTCCATAACTCAGATAAGGATGCATTAAGCCATAGTAAATCTTTTCTAGAATATATTTTGGAATAAAATGTTGAATTCTGGAAAAAATCCCGATAATCCGACTGGTTTTAAGAGAGATATAATCAATATGAGCTTTCCAAGATAAACTAGAATCAATCATGAGACCAAGATACTTCACAGAGTTTTTCATTTCTAAGGGCAACATTCTCTTGGTTCCATGATCATATAACTTTAGCTGAGGAAAATAATCTATTCTTTTTTGATGCGGATGAAAAATGACAAAATTTGATTTGCTAACATTAAGCGATAGTTTGTTTGCTTCCAGCCAACGGCTAACTTTTTTTAATTCCGAATTTACGGTTTGTTCCAATATATACATATTTTTGTCAGAATATAAAATACTTGTGTCATCAGCAAACAAATAAAACTTGAATTTTGTCGACGACGAAGAGAGGTCATTGACATATAAAAGGAATAATAAGGGACCTAGAACAGATCCCTGAGGAACTCCATGAGAACAATTTTCATTCTTAGAAATACAATCTCCGATTGCCGTTGTCTGAAAACGATCGCTCAAATAGGAAGCAAACCAATCATGCACAATACCTCTTATACCATAATGATAAAGCTTTTTTAGCAGAATAGAGTGATTAACCGTATCAAACGCCTTTTTTAAATCAATAAATACACCACATGTAACTTCCCCCTTGTCCATATTTTTATGAATTCGATCAACAATATCAATAAGGGCATGCTGAGTAGAAAAATTTTTCCT